AAATGACGATCTAAAAACCAGTCAATTATTTGTATCTCCTTAGAAAAAAGTAAACTACTCTGTGAAGTTTAGCATGAAGCCACTCCCAAGAAGTCAATGTTCAGGATACGCTTGTGAAGAGCRACCCCTAGCCACTGTCAGGGACTCATGAAACCTCACTGAAAGACAACATTTATCACAGAAAAAAACTCCTCAGCTGCCCCAAAATAAACCAGACAAAGACAGACAACTAAGTGACAAAGTGACTAAAACAAAGGAACTTCACCAAAGACAGAAATGCAGTAGGCAGAGGGCCTTTGAGCATATAACTGGAAACCACAGAAAACTGCGAGCGTGGGCAGTGAGTATTTCCCATCTTGAGATATATGCTATTCGCTTCTTTTCACAGAATCGTATTACATGCTGATTTGGAAGGGACCCATAAGGATCATCGAGTTCCAACTCCTGGCCCCGTGCAGGACACTCCAAGAATCCTACCATGTGCCTGAAAACGCTATGCAAACACTCCTTGAGCTCTGCCAGGCTTGCTGCCATATTCGCTTCCCTAGGGAGCCTGTTCCAGAGCTGAATCACCCTCAGGGTCATGAACCTTTTCCTGACAGCCAACCTAAATCTCCCCTGATTCAGCTTCATCCAGTTTCCTTGAGTCCTGTTGCTGCTCTTGATACTGAAGAAATCAGTATGTGCCCTCCTGCTTCCTCCTCTTGGTAACATGAAACCTTAACCAGACATGATTTTCCTGCTCTCCAGATGTACAGAAGCACAAGTCTTTGTTTGTGTCACAGCTAGTTTATTTCTTTCACTTTAACATACAAAAAAAAATCTTTTAATAGCTACCTTAATCTGAGTAATTTTACTCAGCTGTCTCAGACAAAAGATTCCAATAACCTCTATGAAAAAACAGGTAATTAAAAATTGAGAAACCACAAGAAAATTATACCAAAAAAAAAACCCAAGGAACAATTCAGAACTGGCTGAGTGAGACCAAAAGTATAGTTCAGGTTCACGAAAACCAGAATCCTGCACCAGACACCCTGTCTGCACTGTACGCATTCCCTTGCAGTAGGCACAATACAAAGGAGCAAGAATTCGCTCAAGATGTTGTGGTAAGAAAGGTTATAATTTGAGATTGCTACTCAAGGGTGGCTTGGGACCTTACTCAGTATGCAGGACTCCCTCAAGACAGTGTTACTCTTTCCAGCAAGTAGGTCCAGTGTCATGTCTGTGGAATGCTCACAAAAGGCAGTGTAAAACCACTACAGGATAAAGCAAGGAGCTCAATGATGTGCAAATGCCTATGCCACTAACCTGTTTTCAGGAAGGAGGCTCAGTGATTTTCCACAGTTTTTGGGATGAAAGACAACAGCATCAAGTGGGTTTTCCCTTCTGCAAAATAATGCAAGTGCAAAATACCTGACACATCATTTAAGGCAAGGCTGTTTAAGGTCAAGTTCTGCTATCATTTCCTGGAAGAACTGCCTCTGGCTCCAAAATACTCCATCATCACTGTTAAGAGCAAGAATTTCCAGCATACCTATTAGCTATGGAACACTAGGGCAGCTCTAGTGTTTCCACTGTTTTGGAGATTAATCACAGGAAACTCTAAACACCTAAAAGGATCTACGCTGCCTTCGTTCTCCTTTACCAACACTATAAAATACAACTTGCTCAGAGAATCAACCCTCATGCTGCCTTCGTTCTCCTTTACCAACACTATAAAATACAAGTTGCTCAGAGAATCAACCCTCATGCTCGCACTTACTTGCAGACAGCACCAATGGTAAAACCAGGAGGAAGAGAAGTTGGCAGGTCCTTCAAGGAGTGAACCACAAGGTCAACTCTAAAAATCAGAGGATAGCAATCAGTGAACAGATAGTTGAGCTCATGTGGCAATCTACCAGAGGCCTGCAGATCACCTACAGAAAAATTTGAAATTACTCTGGGAATTAATTTGGAAAAGACAGAAGAATTTCAGGATTCCATAGCCAGAATTACTACACAGTTTTTGTGATACTCAAAAAAAAGCTACTTCACCTTTCTCTGTCTCTCTTTTCCCCTTACCCAGCAACAAAAGACACTTAACAATCAAACTGAATGAGGAGAAGATGCTGGAGATGTTCACAAGGAGAGATTCACTGTACCAAAAAGCCAGCCCACATACTGATGCACTATGCTTCAAAATTAAACTAACAGCAAGCCAAACTACAGGCTACGTGGTTTGTCACATAGGAACCGAGCACAATTGYAAATACTCGAGTCGCCAATATTTTTTCACCATTTTTACCGAACATGCAGTATATTGTAACTATGTRGCAGAGATGCAGAGGAATGCCTTCCCCTTTTCACCACTGAAACCCTCCTCAGAATATGGAAAAGAAAGATTAAACGACAACAAAAACCCCTCAACGTCTCCAAAGCCACGCAACGAGCACTAACCAGCTCTCTGCTCACGCACCTGAACTACTGTTTTTTTGTAGAAAGAAGCTGCACAGAACACAGCACAATTTGCCCAGGACAAATTTTCCTGCACATTTAGCTTGCATACATTAGTAAAAGTTAACGTGGTAACAAGAAATCTGTTTTGCACTACATCACCACCAGCAAGCAAAGCATTTTTTAAAATGAACGTTCAAGCAGGAATCATATGAGATTACATCCTCCCTCTGTATTACAGCATGTAACACACAAATCACAGTAGAAAACCTAGTGGGAGCAGACCAAGGGACACAACAAGTCCACTTCAAAATACATGGCCAAAACCCAGGGAAGGAAAAAAAAAAAAAAAAAAAAAAAAAAAAAAAAAAAAAAAAAAAAAAAAAAAAAGAGGCGGCAACTTATCAAAGGATTACTTTTTTTAGCCCAAGGTACCAGAACTGAAGGAAAATAGATAACCTATGCAGCAAGCCAAATGCCAATGTCCAAAGAGCACCAAATGCCAAGGAGGAAGACAAAACAAGAAGCTCTTACTCATTTCTTTCAAGTGCATTTTCCAATTCTTTGGTGAAGAGGCTCTTCTCTCCAATCTACATATAAATTGAAGAACATGAATCACAAAATAAGCATCTGCCAATATAACATAAATACATCTATTTCTTGCATAAAGGAAGAACAGATCCTTTACCTTGGAAAGTGCTGTATCCAAGATCTTGTCCCCAGTTGTTGACATGGCCACTGCTCAGAGACAGTACAGGTAAAACATGAGGCTTGATAAAAGCAGTGGGCTTAAGCTGAAAATATCTATGTAAAATGCCATGAGCAGTCACACACTACTGTGTGAACACCAACTCAACCTCAGTGCAAGAGCAGCTCACCTCCAGAAACACACTGTACTCAAGACAAGTGAAATTGAGACTTCTTTCACTGTCCTCAAAAACAAAAGCAGTGGGAAAGAAAGCAGGTTTGGGGAAGAGCTGACCCAATGGAAACTGCCGCAGTCTGTCTTTGGAGTGCCAAAGCAGTACTCTTCAGCGCAAGGCTGAGAGAACATCCCATTATTCCTGCTGAAAGCCTTGAGTCCCAGACCAGAAAATGTCCCTAATGCTCACTGGGGTGCAGCCAGAACAATACCAGGTTTGCAAATGGAGCAAAACACCACCATCCCCATTGCATACTCAGCATTTCAGTCACCAAGTGCTTATGAAATCCATCTTTCTCCCCTAGAAGAAACCAGCAGCAGCAGTTGCTCAGCCACACAATGGAACTGAATTCAGATGGCACTCTTAGATAAACTCAGACCTCCTCCTCCTGACTCTGCACACATCTCTTGCACACAAAGATAACCCACCGGCTCCTGCTGCTATCAACCTCAGGGCAACATCCAAAAAAAAAAAAACAACTTACCAATCTCAAAGTGGAGGTCAGGGTATAGCTCACGGAGCATCATAACTACACTATCGGTCTGAATCCGGGCCAGCTACAAGGAAGCAAAAAATAAAGTCCTAAAGAACAAGCACATTGTCCCTACAGTAGCTAAGGAGGCTTTGCCATTCTTCGACAGCCAGGCATGCATGACCAGTACATTCTCTCCAAATCAAGAGCATTAGAAATAGGTTGCCTCAAGTAAAATCACTCATATTGTGATTTTGACTCCTTGAACTGTGTGAACACCTATGCTGACCAGAGCACTTTAGTGAAAAACTTGTTTTATTGACTAAAGTGGCACAACATCACCTCCCTATGTCCAGCATCGCTGTGATACAACAACTGATGAAACACTGCAATGAATTTATTGAGTTAGGGAGAGTGACTACAACAGAAGCCTACAGATCATGATTCTCATGCTTCCATTCTTGGTTTCAAATTTGTGGAACACAGCTGCTGAATGATGACCGCTCATCAGAAGCTGGGCAGAAAAGTAGGCAAAACCATCATTTTGCTGCTCGGTGATGAAAGAACAAGTCATACTGCACTCTCGGTTAGGGTTAAAGCCTCTGCTTTCTCTGACAGTATGAATTTTACCAGTACTACAAGCTTTGGGAGAAGCCAGTAGGATTTCACCGTACTGGTAGAAAAAACCGTGGTTAGTGTCAAATACAAGTTACTTATTCTCTGTAAGAGCAACGATCTAGTTAGAGGTTATACAAACACACACACACACAAAAGTAGCAGCTTACATCATCACATACAAATGAAGAACATTCCTCTGCATAAGAAAACCAGAAGCAAGTAAAATACAATCACTAGTGTATCATCTTTCCACACATGCAAGCAGCAGCAGGCTCAAGCAACTACAGATGAGTTTCAGCTTTTCTCCCACCGAAGGGCCCAAAACTCTTGTGCAAGTAACGTAGTTCTCAGGACTGAAGCCTCAGAGCATTACATGACGTAGCATACATGCACAGCTATGTCCCTTGTTCTGACGTCTACATAAAATGCCTTCGTGAAAGTGTGGAAATCTTCCTAGAACGTGCTAGCAAAAGGAACGAGATTATCTTAGCGCAAAGACCTCAGGGTCGTTTATCTCCCTTTGCGAGGCTGCTCCTCCCTGCTGTAGCCCGCTGGCAAGAGATACCTTCGCTATCTCTGGCTAYGTCCCTTCCCTGGCCTTTGAGCGCGCTGCAGCCATCAGTCGTTGGGGGTTTTCTCTACAAGAGCTGCGCGGGCCTTGCGAGTTACACAGTCCCGGCCAGACCCGGGAGAGATGACGCCGCCGCCCCCGGCCCCTGCACCGAGGCAGCGCTAACAGAGCTGACCGTCCCCGGGGTTCCGAGGGAAGCGCCCTCCAAACTTCTTCCTGGAGTTCCAAGGCAGGAGTCAAAACGCGCGAACTCAGGAAGCTCAGCCCGTTCCTTAACCCAGAGAAACACGCAGACCCTGCCCTGGCCGGAACGAAGAGGGTGCCGGGGCGGGAGCACTCCCAGCGCCCCGCCCCTGCCTACCTGGCTCCGGCGGGTTCCCACGCGGACCGCTCTGCCATCCACGCCATTCTCTCCCCGCGGCAGCAACGGGTCAGCGCCCGCCTCGTCGGCCCCCTCGCCAGACTCCGACCGCCCCCGGCCCGCAGCGGCCAGCCCCGGCTCCGCCATGACCCCCGGCCCGCAGCGCTCCACAGCCCCACGCACACCACGTGACCGGCAGCCTCGCCCCCGCCGCCCTAACCACGTGACCAGCGCGCCCGCAGCAGAGGCCCCGCCCCCCGCGCACTCCCCGGCCGGGCCGCTCAGTAAGGGTCGGGCTGCGGCACCGGCCGGCCAATCTGCTTTATTCGGGGCAAAGGGGTGAAGCCACATACAGGTGGCCGAGCACACAGCGGAAGACCCCGTACAACAGCAGAGGGCGTGTAGACAGGGCCTGGGGTCAGGTACTACGCTTGGTGTGGATGAGCAGCTCCCGCTGCAGGCCAGCCTCGATCGTCGTAGCCGTCTTTCCCGAGGGCAGGTCCGTGATCAGGGTGAGCTTATTGAAGACGCCGCGACCAAAGTAGTCAGCAACAACTGAGAAGCCATCGTTGGAACACTTGAGCTACCAGACACAAAGCAGCAGCATCAGCAAAAACCCCCAGAGACTCTTGCCTCTAGCCCCCTTCCTTTATCCCCTTGCACTTACAAACCTCTGGCTTAGGAGACAGGGCAACCCCATGTCAGTCCCTGCCTCTATGCTCATTCCATGCAAGGGCTGAGTATAGCAGAAGAGCCTGCTAGATTATTTGACACTGGCCATTCCAGCTCCTCTTTCAACCCTGCATCTGAGCCATGCACTGAGAAGATAATGAGCAACTGAATTAAGAAGGAAGGTGAGTGCCTCAACTGCTGTAGTTTCCACAAGTGTTAACATTTTCCACCTAATGTCCATTCCCGCATTTACCACCACTTCATCCTTAGGGAACACAAGGTAGATGCAACTTTGGTGCTGTCCCTATTCCAATTCATATTATTCTTTTCCCTTTCTCCCTTATTTATTCTATACAACTTGTTCACCAGTGGTCACCCTGACCACTAGGTCTTGACCCATCTGAGGGTCAGGTGAGAATAGATGCTCTCTTTCACCTTCACAGAGCAACAATGACTTTTCACACCCTTTACACAAAGCAGTCACCCTCGGGTCCAATGCCTTGTTTACAAAATACTTTCAAGCCTTACCTGTCTCTACCAGCCTCCACAGGTCTGTAAATGAATCTAAGCTCTATTTATTTCAACTTGGTAAGTAAGACAGGCAATGCTACACTACCTGATGCTGAAATTGGTCGTGCAGATCTCTCTTCTGCTCCTGGGCTCGGATCATGTCCATCACTTTGCGATTTTCTGGCATGCAAGTAGGACATTCCGAATCACTCTCAGAGTAGCTTTCGAAGCAGTGCTGGTGAAAGGAATGACCACACAGGAAGTGGACTGAAGGCAGCTCCAATGCACTGGTGCAAATGCTGCACTTGGTCTTCTGAAAAATCTTGGGACTGAGAAAGTAACAAGATGGAGAAGCATGAGAAAGACAAGCTACACTTAAACTTAATAAAAGGAAACAGCAGTTTTACCCTTGTGTAGGACTAGACAAGACAGCACAGTCCCACACCTTGCTTTTAGCTCTTCAATTTCCAGACGGATCCTTGTTGTTTCTTCTTGGTATTTCTGAATTCTCTGCTCATCCTGCTCTATCTGGTGACTTTGCTTCTGCAGCTTGTTCACAAGATAATCCTTAATCACAGACAGGGTGGCTGTGGAGTTATGAGCCAGCGTCTGCACAACTGAGAGCAACTGAAATGTTAGTTTAAACACAAGCACAAAAACTGCAGCTATACTTGTAGTGCCAGGTCAGACTGCTTTCCTGGGAAAGGCCACTTACAGGCAAAGACAGTTGGCATTCTCATGGAAGCAGAAGAGCTCACTTAAAGATTCTCTTTCAGTTTGACCTCTTCCAGGAATGGGTGACTGGGAGCATGTGTGGATAGCTCAAACCAAGAGGGACAAAGGAAGGCTCTAGAAGTGGATTGGATTCTAGTTCTCCACCAAGGCAAAACTGGAGTTTCAGAAAGCCCTTCACTGCCCTACACTGACAGAACAAAAATCATGTACCAGACATCTCACTGATACTGCAGATCTTTTTTCCTAACTACGGAGCTGTGACTGACATCACTTTTTCCTTACAGAGCAGGTTATTACTTCAAATGGTAGATTCCAATTCCATTGATTCTTCTGTCTACTCTCTGATCTACAGAAAGCACTACAAACTAGTCTGGGTTGGAGTTTTTTGTGGTTTGTTTTTCGTTTTTTTTGCTTGGGTTGGGGTTTTATTGCAGGGGAGGTGGGGGGTGGAGTGCCACATGTCATTACCAAGCAGCGGAGGCATAAGATTCTTGTTCTCAATGTGTTTCAGCACTGCAGCAATATACTCTTTGCAGTTCTCCTCCTTTCGCGCAAAGTAGCCAAGAGCTTGTTCCCAGAGACAAGCCTCTTGGTCTCCATACAACTGGCACACCTCGATCACCTTCTTGTACTGCTCATTCTGCATGTGGTAGTGCATGATCTGTTGGAAACTGTGGGAGAAAGACTCATCAGCTGCAACAATCCATCTCGCCCTTTGAGTTGTTACAGGGAGCTCAGGTTTTACTCCAGTCATGCAATCCCAAGACTCATGCAGAAGTGAAAGATAGATCTTTTTTTCACTCTATGTAACTGCCTTGCTTTAACAGGTATTTTAGCAGAGCAATCATCTACTGTTCTCCTCTTGAGACACTAAGGAAGTCACTATCATTGATGGTACGGACATTTATGGCTCAGAAATCGCTGCAGTTGGGGCAAGAGGGGAAGGACAGGACTGTAAAGACAAAAATAACACTCACAGTTTGCCCTGCTCATAGAGGTAGAGAACACCATCCTTGAAATTGTGCATCTGACATAAAACCAAGGCTTTATCAAAGACTGTTTTGAACCTTCCACTCTTCAGGAGGGTGAGAGCTTCATTGTGCAACTTCTCCTTGATCTACAAAGAAGGGGCAAAGGTCAAGAAGAGAAACACAGGTGCATGTGCACACACACACACACACACACACACACACACACACACACACACAATTTTGCACTAAGATCTGACAATCTGCAGCTCTTTCATAGAGGTCAGTTTTGGTACTTGTTCTCTAATCCTTTTAAGCAAACAGGACACGATTTTCTTTGCCTAAACAGCCAACATTCTCACAGATCTAGGCAAGCAAATAGAGATACTTTCATGGGCAAGGCATCTGCTCACATAGTTTGTATTGTCTAGAATCTGTCCTTAAATGAGATTCAAACAAAACAAGCTCAGCCATTCTGAAAGGAATATTCTCCCAGATACTAGGCTGCTTTCCCATTTCTGTGCCCATGTGCCCAACACAGCATATGCATTGCCTCATGTTGTCAACGCCAAGCTGCAAAGGACATTGCAGGAATGTAAATATGACTCGCAAACACCGTATCTTGCCCTCAAAACACAATGCTGGAGGAGCTCAAACCTGCTCATCTTGCTCATGTGCCCAGTTCTGCAATCTAAGTTCCAGTAAAGTGTCATAGACACCCTGTGGAGAGTCAGCCTGCACTTCAGTCATGTGCTCCAGAAAAGCTTTCAATTCTCGGGAGTTGTTTGCAAAGACTGGAATGAACTCCTCTGAATTAGCCTGTAAAACAGTCAGAAAAAGACAAGCACCCGCATCAGTCTAAGCCATCGTGGTGCTTCCTCCCTGCTATGAGGAATATTCATTTCCAGAGTCTCAGACAGGACACATACAGCACAATACAGGATGCTGACTACATCAAGGATCAGTTCTGAGCAATAGCTTTAAGAGGACCCCTGTCTCTAGGGCTACCGGTACACCAGAATGGAGCTTCTCATAGAATCATTGAATAGTTTGGGTTGGAAGGGAACTTTAAAGGTCATCTAGTCCAACATCCCTGCAATGAGCTGGGTCATCTTCAATTCAATCAGGTTGCTCAGGTCCTCATCCAGCCTGACTTGAGAATTTGTTTCCAGGGATTGGGCCATTTACCACTTCTCTTGAGCACCGTGGTCCAGTGATTCACCACCCTCATAAAAAATTCCTTCCCTCAATYTAGTCTAAATTTGCTCTCTTTTACTTTAAAACCATTACTCTTGTACCTTTACAACAGGCCCTGTTAAAAAGTTTGTCCTCATCTTTCTTATGAAACCCTTTCGAGTACTGAAAGGCTGCAATGAGGTCACCCTGAAGCCTTCCCTTCTCCAGACTGGACAACTCCAGCTCACTCAGCCTTTAGTCAGAGCAGGTGTGTTCCATCACTCTTGATTATTTCTGTAGCCCTCCTCTAGACGCACTCTGAAAGGTCCATGTCTTTTCTGTGCTAAGAGTTCCAGAGCCAGATACAGTACTCCAAGTGGGGTCYCTCAGGCGGGCAACACAAGGCATGCAGAAGACCTCACTGCAAAGTTACTACTGGAGAGCAACAACTCTAATCGATGCAAACGGTACCTTTTTTCCTTCCAGCAACCCAGGGCCTTCATTACCTCCTGARGGCCGGTAATCAGTGCAAAGTATCTTCAGCAATTCAGTGGTCTCATCAGGGACATGGTGCATCAGGATTTTACCATAACGCTTCATGTTACTCTCTGCCTGTTCAAAGGGCAGTTTTCCAATGTAGTGCAAAGCCTCCTGGTAGTTCTATGGAGACAGACAACAAAACAGTGACAGGGCATTGGCCTCTTCTCTGCACTTTGAGATCAGGACAGAAAGCATTGAAGACATGCTGTGAGAATAGCACATACCATCTGCACTGAATAATCACCTAGTTCACTGTTCCTGCTCATTTTCCTGCTGAGGGAGAAAGACTGGATGCAGCCTGGGGGAAATGTTTAAACGAATCCCCAACTAACTACCCTCCCTCCTCTTAAAGGGCACTGTAAAAAGCTGCATCTGAAAGATCCTCTCATTTCC